CTGCACTGCTGGCGAGGAAGAGGTAGAGAAAATCGGGAGTGGAGTTGAGCTGGGAAGGAGGGAGGGGTGGGGGGAAGGTGTTTTAAGATTTGGTTTTACTTTTCATTATCCTTGTTTTTATTTGATTGGTCATAAATAAAATTGATTTTTTTTTCCCCAAGTTGAATCTGGTTTTTGCCTGCAACCATAATTGGTGAGTGATCCCTCCCTGTCCTTGTCTCGACCAACAAGTGTTTCTTTATATTTTCTCCCCCTCATCCCACTGGCGGGGGGGGGGAGTGAGTGAGCGAGCGGCTTTGTGGTGCTTTGTTGCCAGCTGGGCTTAAACCACAACAGACAGTATCAAAGAATTGGAAATATTTTTTAATCATGTTCTTATACATTATCTGTGAACCCAGGAGTTACAAGCCATGTTGTTTGAATAGTCCTGTCTCTCTAACCCTACTGAAAAATATACTAAGCGTTATATTGGAAATAGTTTCATGTGCAAAGAATGTTTATTAAAGCTATTACAGGGTATGTTGGAATTGAAACTCTTTCAAGATTTATGATTGTGTATCTAGGGTTGATTTCTGCCAGGAACAGATGGTATTGAAGCAGACAGCTGACAAGTGATACAGCAGAAAACACAATTAAATGAAATTTTGTAAGTGTGATCATGAAATAATGAGAGTGTATTAAAGTGTTGTTGCAAAATTTGGTTTTGAAGAGCAGACAGGATAAAGAGGGGTTTTTATGAAGGGGGAAGTTGCATTCATGCTTTTCCAAAAAATACTTTAATTCAAAGATTTCAGATCAGTAGATGTTGAACTATTTGAAGGGCAAATTGAAGTTATATTCTAACACACTCTTGGGGAAGCCATAGTCAGGTTACAGCAGTCTTAGTGGATATGTACGGGATAACAGAGATCTGCCTTTAAGGCATCTAGCTCCTTAAAATTCTCTGTAGTTGTATCTAGTTATTCTAAATCAATTGCTGACATGGAACCCAAACCAGAAATAAATTGTTATGTCTCAAAGGATACTTACTACTTTAAAAAGAGGTAGATTTGAATGCTGCATGTTTAAAATAGCCATAGATTTGTCCATTGTAGAAATTTTGATCCATGAAATAACCAGCAGAACAATTAAAGCCTATGTTTTAGGTAAAATGAAACAAAGGATGCCATTACCCTTGTTCTAGGTTAAGGAAGTTAGGAAGAAGCTCATAGCACCACAATCCCTGTCACTTTATTCTAAATTTGGTTTTAATGGGGTCATAAGGCCTTCTATGTATTTCTCATGTCTTAATCCTTGTGGAAACTCCTATGTGGATGAAATGTTTGGGAGACTTGTGAAATGGAAGTACTGCGAATGGAAGGATTATATGTTTTTCATGTAATGCAATCCAAAGGTGCATATAAATATGATGTTGGGGTTTTTGTGACACAGAACCGTCGTTCCAAAAACTGATTCCTTAAGGACTGAGCCCTTTTACTGCTTTTTAGTTTGTTGACAGCATTGACCAATATCTGGAATTAAACTTTGGAGTTTCTTATTAGGAATATAAATTGCTTTATTGTTTCTACTGGAATACCAACATAGTCTTTCAAATATGTAAAACTTGCCTAATGCAATTAGTGTGATGTGTTTCCTTACTAACATTAGAGCTGATTTAGAGTTGCAATAGTCCCATTTGCCTTGCAGATTTTTGAATTGGAAAATGAAGATGGCTTAACACTTGCCTTTCTGTGTTGTCAAATACTGCAGTAATACTGTGATACTTGGAATTAAATAGTACCAACAATGTTAGATTTTACATTCTGTGTAACAGTGACTTTTATGTACAAAACACCTTCTCTCTTGAAGTGTTTCTTTTAGTGTCATTTGAGTTTATGAAATTAAAGGAACAACACTAAGGCCAGTATTTGTATTAGTATGATATATTAGTGCTGCAAGATGTCTGCTTCTAAAGTTGCTTGTTAAAAGTGAAAGCTTGATTAGTGTTATTTACTGTAACACTTTATATGCAGTAGCTTATATTTGCAGATAAAATTTGTTCATCAAATGATTCCTGCTTTTTAATAAAAGTGGTTGATCTGTATAGCAGTACTTTTAGTAGCATTTAAAATACAGAATTCTCTTTAATTTTACTCAGATTTCATTTATTAAAATTCACCCATAAAATGTAAGACTTCAGATGGAACAAAATTAGAATTTTCTTTTAATGGAAACAAAGACTTCTGCATACTGATGAGAACTTGCTGAATGCAGCATTTGTGCTTTTCTAAGACACTCTGAAAAACAGTTTTTTGAATAGTAAACCAAAAACTTTCTCTCAGAAATTAAACTGAAAAAAAAAAAGTTTGGATGCATCATAAAGTGCCAGCTGTGAAACTATGGGAAAAAAATGTCAGGGCTTCTGTCAAAGCACCCTCAGCATGCAGAATACGTGTGGCCAGTAGAGACCCTGGGGCTTGGGATTGTTGAAATACCAAGCTCTGGAGTTGACCCAGAAGATGACAAGCCATGAGCATCCCAGCAGAGCTGCCCTGGTGCTGTAGAGCAGGGAAGTCTCCACCAGCATCCTGCATAAGTACCCTCCCAGTTTGTACTCCCTGCTGCGGAACTGGAGTTCAGCTTCGAGTATTTTCAAGCTGTCAGCTTAAGAGCAGCAAAACTGAAATCTTTGCATGACTGGAAACACACAGCTTGGAAACACAGAAGCACTGGAGTGGAAATGTTGCTTGTGTTAGAGCTGCTTTCGTGTTTGTAGTTTCGTGGGTTTGGGATGCTCAACAGTTTCCATTAGTAGAGGTTGGATTTTTGGAGAAGCATGGCTCAAATTTATCAGAAATTTGGACCATGGATGTTTCAGAAAAATAGTTTTAGGGTTTGGTGATTTGCATTTTTCTAGACAAACAGCTTCCTTCTCACCACCGTTTTACTGCAAGATTTCTGATAGGTTTTATCGGATTGGTTACTTGCATGATTTCTGTCAGATGTTTAAAAAAAACCAAAAATCCCAAACCAAACAAACCAACACCACAACCGATGGGATGAAAATTTTGATAATAATGAGTTTTGCCCTTTAAGTGGGGAATGCAGTTTTTGCTTGTGTTCCTGAGTGAATACTGTCTCTACAGAAGGACGTATTCATGGCTCATTTTATTTTCTCTAAGTCTATAATGAAATTGCAGGCAGTGTACTATCATACTCATTTTTTCTGTGTTCCTTAATCTGTAGGGTATAGGCTCACTAGCATTATAAAAAAGGCTTAAATGGGGTTGCAAAATATTAGCTAGCTATAGTAGCTCCACTCCTCCAGGCTGGAGGAATGAAAACTGATTTTCATTGCTGGCTGGTGCTTACTGCCTTTGGGCTGGGGAAGCAAGTTTAGTATGTGTATTACTTTTTCCCTTGGGCGTCCTGTCTGTCGGGGGGGGGTATTTTTTTTTTTTTTTTTTTTTTTTTTTTTTTTTCCCCTAGATGACAAGTCCTTGGTGCCAAGGCCTGTCTTTTTGTCATAAATGTGTTATCTGCAATGGACACATACTGGCAAGTAATTGGTACTGTGAGGCATTATGTGGTGTTAGTGATAAGTAAGTGGTATTGATTCCTTATTCAGGGTGCATCAGTGTCAGGTTTGCACTGCACAAGTTGGAATTACCTGTGTGTAATTCAAAAAATTATGTTAAGAAACATTGATAAGATGCTAACTGTGTAACTTCGACTTTTTCCGAGCAGGGACTAAACAGGGAGTAGGTTGTTTGGGGCAAGGGGTTGTGTGTGGTGTTGCTGTGTTGAGGAGGGGTTGAATGTTCTAAGTTCTGAAATTCTTTTATGTTTTCAAAGTGACTTCTTGGGTCTCAGCTCTAAATTTGTTATCAGATCTCTCCTGCCATGAACTTTAATTTTCTTGTATGCTGCTAGCTCTCAAGTAGGAATTCACTGAATAAAGTTATTTTGGCAAGGGAGAGGAATGCTTTTCATGATAAAATGTCAATTAAAATGTGCGTTTACCATAGTTGTGACACAAAAGTTGAATTAATAGAAATGTCTTGCGACTTAAAATTTCTTGCTGCTTATAATCATGGTCCCTCACCCCCGGTATATTTTGGAACTCTACTAAAAAGATCTAGACATCTAAGCAGAGCTTAGGCCAGAACCAGGATCCCGACTGATGATCTGTCTCTTCTGATTTCCCAGCAGCCTTCCCTCAGAGAGCAAACTGGTTGGTTCTTGTTCATTTTTATCACTCACTGTGATGTGAAAGTGATCTTATTTTTCTGATTAAGCTATAAACTCGTGCAGGGAAATTGGCACTGATCCTGAAAGAGTGAAGAAATATTTTGTGCTAGTCTTTCAAAAGTGAATCTTCATCAGTACATATTGTGTATGGCTAAGTTCTCTTACTTGTACCTTCAAAAGGACCTTAGGTCAGCCTGAACTAATCAAAAGTGCTGGGTCTTACTTGCATCCTCCAGAGTGTTTTCTACAAAATAAATTGCCTCTCTACCTTCTTGCTTATTTACAATAAACAAAACAGTTGAAAATGGATTTCAGTATTTTTGCCCCTACTCACTCCAGCTTCTTTTCTATTTAAAAAATAACTGCTGAAACTAAATTCAAACTTTCCAAAGAAAATGTTTTTCGGTAATTGTTGCATATGACACACCATTTTTAACTGTATAGGACAGCTTCAAGTTCCTGTCTCTGGAGACAAGTGAATGGTGATTTCTAACTGATGGGTTAATCTAAAGATGTGATGAGCATCTGTCAATCTGTGTATGTCACGAAAATACTAGTTGAGTATGTAGGTATTAGGAGTTCCTTAGGGAGAAGCATGCTTGTCTTAGTAAATGTGACTAACGTCTTTAGAGTAATTATGTTTTCTAAAATATAAAGTGTACAATATTTGGAAGATGCACTCTTATGCAGTGTTTTTTCATAACTCATACAGAATGCTAAAACATACTTTTTATTTTAAATAAAACCTCTTTTCCCCCCTCTTACCACAGGATAATGAGAAAAGGACCCCTTTACATGCTGCTGCCTATCTGGGAGATGCAGAAATTATTGAACTACTTATTTTATCTGGTATGTTCTGTTCCTGTTAATGGAAAAAAAATAACTCTATGCACATCCAAAGAAATATTTATGTACATCTTAGTCTGTGTAGCTTTTACTGAGATATTTAATGTACTAGAAATTAAAGATGTTTGTACAGAAATTTTGGGTTCCAGACTTATCAATGTTATAATACTGTGTAGTTCTGCTTTAAAATATTTCTTTGTAGAAAGCTTTCTCAGTTATGGCTGTTTTTATTTGTAGCTTGATCAGCTTTAGGTAGTTTAACTCTAGTTTAAAGAAGCAATAGGGTATATGTTATAGGTAGATGTTAGCAGCATTGCTTTTGTTCTGAAATGGCCTTCAGAAAAACAATTAAAGTTGAACATAGAAGATAACATCCGGAGTTGGTTATATTCTTTTTTAAGTATCCTTTGCTGTTGGCTTAAATGCACAGAATATAATTAGGATCAGCTGAAAATTTTAAAATCTCTTGTCTTTTTTTTCTATTTATTTGTACTAAGACAAAGTGCAAGTTCTGTAAAACAGTATACGTCGATTTTTAAACAAACAAACAAAAAAGGGTAGGAAAACAAGAAACTAAACCAAAAACCTGAAAGCAGAACTTCATTATTGAGATACAAGTTTTAATTTTAATTCATCAGCAGTCCCTTAGAACTACTTCAATCATCAGTCTGCTTAATGTCACACTTTACCTGTGCAAAGCTGGCTATTTCCATGACCCTTTACCACTCTCCCCATGAACCTTTAATAACAAAGTATGTTTTGAGGAAATGTCACTTTTAAGATTGTAGGAGTCACTTCCAGACTTCCAATTGAAATTGCCAGGCACAATTTAATTTGTTATGATTTAGCAAGATACAATCTTCTCACTATATATATTATATGTATGCTCTCTATATAACTATATATACTTATGATTAATTAATATCATATTTGATATATTTGATGCATATATTTTTCATTGAAATATGTAGCGATAATCTGTCAAGAAAAGTTCACCTGTGTTGCTGAGAAGATGCTGGTTTTCCCCATCAAGGAAAAAAAACAAGTTCTGGTGACTTGGAAATATATAATGACCTTTTTCTTCTGAAAAGGGATCTTGGATTTGGCAAGGATATTTCTTTTTGTTTGGGTTTTCACAGCGATTAAAACAAAACCAAACAAAAACTCAAAACAACTAACCATGTTACAAACTTTGCAAAGTTGTAGTCAGCTACTTCTGGGAGTGAAGCTTCTGACTGTTTTGGGTGAAGAGAGTTCAGTTACCAGAACTGTGACTGAAGAAAGTCTCTCTTTCTCGGGCAAGAGGCTTATGGAAGGAGGGAGATTCTAGTTCAGATATTAATGAAACAAGATCCTGACTGGAGGATGGCAGTAGGAGAGGAAAGGTTAGTCATGCTATTTGGGCACATAGCCTGGGGGTGAGTGCAAGAAAAATTGGATAACAAAGGAGGGAAGTGAAGAACTAAAAATTATGGCTGTACAAATAGTCCAAAGTTGAGCTGTTGCGTGGAGGAGAGGTGGTGGATTGCTGCTGTGTGTGCAGATTGGTCAGGAAGGCTGGGAGGCATTGATAGGTCTCTGATAAATCTTGATTTTCATTAAATAAATGTTACTTACACAAAACAACACGTTAAATAGTTGCAAAATCAAAAGCTTCAAAAGCTGTGGAATGTATAGGCAATATCAGTCTAACCTTGCTGTGCTCATGGGCTATGCTGTGGACTTCAATTACGTGTTTGTGCCTTGCTGTAGAAGCACAGTCTCATGAATTTCACAGGGAGGGGCTGCGCTGGGAATGAATCAGGGTGGTACAGTGAAGGAGGCACAGATGCCAGTTGTTGATGCATTTGCAAGTGAATGAAGAGGGGCATTAATTGCAGGATGAGAAAGTGCTGTCTTCGTGTTAAGGCTGTTCAGTTTGAAAGGCTGTGCTGCTCTTGAGCACTAATCTGTATATTATCTCCTTGCAAGCTGTGGTTTTAGGCAAGCAGCTTAAACCAGACTCTTTAAAAAGTAGTCACCAATTTAGTCGTCTTCATTTCTGAATGCTGCGCTTGAAATCTTTGTGGTTTGTGAAGTGTGAGTGCTCGCAGCTGTATCTGAAGTGCTGCTCCAGCTACTCTGAGAAGTCATGTCTAGGTGTCTCAAAATGAACAAGCCAAGATTTTTCTTTTAACTCTCTTAATTGGAAGATAGAGAACAGAGGTTAAGTGTATTTATTCTCTCCATTTCATAAAGATACAGAAAATGCATCTGTTGTGTTTCAGCTGGAAATCAAATCTCTCCTTTGAGACAGATGTATAATGTTACATTTTTGTCATAATAGATGAGCATTAGGGAGCAAATAAAGAACATCTGTTACCACAGCAAGGTTTGAAGAACACTTGCTGTGTTGCAAGACCTCCTTTTGAACAATGAGAAAATAGTTTGTTTTTTCAGAAATGTTATTTATTCAACGGTTTCCTCTGTGCAGTAAAGTTGCATGTAAAGATTTTGTATGTGGCTTTCTTTAATTGATGGATTGTAATATATTTGCACAAGGGATTGAATTAAGTAGTGTAGACTGCTTTCAACCTAGCATTTCTCACCTTATGAGAGCTTGGCTTTGCAACTTGTAATGTCCTCTAATGTAGTTTTACTGGAATGTTACTAGGAACCACTTTACAGTTTTCCTGTTGTGCAAGCTGTCCTGTGAAGACTGTTTGCTTTGACTCTTTTATTCTTTCTTCAAACTGGAGCTCAAAATTACCGAAGTCAGTGTTGATCTTTCCAGTCCTCAGTGGCTCTTACCCGATTCTTTCTCACTGTTCTTTATTCTTAGTTAAAGTGTGTATCATATGTTACCTAGACATAGTTTTTTAATTTGATTGGAATGTCTTTTGCATCCCCCTCCAGGAGATCTACATTGCTTTCAAGTACGTATTTTGGATCATACGTTGCTGTTACAATACCTTTACATTACTTTGCTGTAGACCTAAGCAACCCATATTGCATGTTCTGGGGAATAGGTTTTGTCTTACAAGCGTACTTAACTTAGTTTTTGAATTCTTGAGATGTTTTCCCACCAAACCTGGGCAAGGGACCTGAAGGTGATGGTTTCAATACAGACTCTGAACAGCAAAGAAAATTCCTTCAGTGACACCAGTTTGGGCCTGGACATTTAGATTGCCTTTTGTTTTTTATCTTGAGACAGTGCTTCACTGAACTTACTAATAAACTTGTCCCCTGAGGATGTGAACGTCTTGCCAGCAAACTCTCATATGACTATGGTCCGTGGAAGTCTAAATATTCAAATCATCTCTCCCTGTTAGATTGTAACTGGATAAGCATTTAGCATTCCTAAATTTGTTAGGTAAGGAGGTGAACAGTAAATAAAAAAGAAACATAAAGATGGTTGTTTATGGTTGTAATGGAACAAAAGTTTGTATTTTAGTCACTTGAGAATCATAATTTTAGAAGCATTTTCTTTTTTGTATTACCCCGTGAAGTGTCATAACATCCATCACAGTTTTATTTTTATGATGTGTGTACAACCCTGCATCCTGGTGCACAAATACATCTGTCTACTTTGCATAATTGCACTGACTTTAATTGTGTAAATACTTGATGGCAAACTACTGAGAAGTAGAAAAGTAAAATAATTAAATGTCCAAATTTTTGTTCTTCCCAAGAAGTCCTGATTAAAGAAAAGAAAAAAAATCAAGCCCTTCTTTCAGCTGAGTCCTGCATGTGAGCTGTTGTGGGGAGGCATCTTGCTTTCTTTATGATTTATTTATTTATATTTTAAAAGTACTGTGCAGACTATTATTGCTTTCACTGAAATCAACACACTTCATGAAAATAAACATCTGATTTATCTGTTCTCTTTTGAACAGATTTAGTTACTATATTGCATTGATACTTAAATACTAACACAACATATTTATGTTTGTTTAATCCAAAATTTTCATTGCATGGAGCTCAGCATACATGAGTGCATGGTCAAACTCAATCTTATTAAGGTTTGGCAGCCTACAAGTTTTTGTTGTGCTTTCTTCTGGGTCAGCTGGAAAATGTAAGAATCGTGCTGACGCTGGAAAACTATTGTTACAGTAATAACAGTTTTTGGAGCATAGTAAAGACCCTCCAACATTACTCCACTCTACCTGCATTTCTTTCATCTAATTCTGAAGCTATGCAAGTATTAAAAGTCCATGCAATGACAGTCACACAGCTCAGCTGTCGAAAGGCTATGGCTGCAAAAATACCAGCCACATGAAGCTCCCTTTGTTTGGATTGCAGATGTACCCACAGGCCAAAGGCATTTCACAGGGGCTCCTTTTACACTGGTTGTATCTTTTGGCTGCTTCCTCTTCTTTTGACAATGATGTTGGCTGCCATTTTTTCTTTTTTGAGCAGTCTTAACTTCCCTCTGGCAGCAGTAACAGTCAGTTGCTTGGAAGAAAGTTAGCTCTGATTCTCTTTGAAAGAGAAAATGAAGCTGACTTAGGAAAAGGTAGAAGCATTCAGTAGCTCAAGGAGTCTGAGAACCTTGTGTTGCTCTCTGAAGCTTGAGGAGGTGGTGGCTGAGATGTGGCAGAAACTATGAAGTTCTGTAAGGAAATGGACTTCTTATATTGACAAGGCAGTGAAGTTCTGGAGGATGGCTTTGACTTGATTGTGGTTTCCCTCCCTTTTGTGGCCGGTGTATTCCCATGTGTGCTTGTTTTTTTCCAACCAGTAAAAAGAAAGACTGTTGTTGAATCATTATTGTGGCTGGTCAACAGATACTCCAGTCCTGTTCCTCTCAGATTTTTTTTCACTATTCTGTAGAACCTCCACTATGCATTTAGCTTATAAATAGGAAGAAACTTTCTCTCAATAAGGTCTTAAGCATTATTTTTGCAGCAACAGTTTTCTAAGTATTCATGTTTTCAATAGGAAATTACCCTAGATTTTTATGACTGATTGCTCCAATTCATATCTCAAATCCTTTTTTACTTTACAAACTTCTTTTGTATCTC